GAAAAATTGCGAATTCATTTTAGAAATCTTGCGATTTGTCGAACAATGATGATAATCGTTAGTAGCTTGTATAGAAATTCTGTATACATAATTCACAGTTCTGAAAGAGTAAAATACAGTTACAGCCGATATTGTTTAAACGTATTACGTGCGGTTCAGTTTGAATTATAATTTCGATATCTTGGTGTGACGTAGCATTCATTTGTAAATACTCTGTATTTGTATATCTGCTTATGTTCATACATGTGTTTAACGTAGCGCCCGGCCTCTCATTCTTCTCGTTATGCATCACGTAGAAATGCAAAAGGAAGTGGAGATATGTTAAGAACGTGATATATTGCCTACTTCCTTTCACACTCTATACTACACATATATACGTGTGTGCAGACGGCTTGGTTGGATTTAGATTTTGTAAAGCGTTGTAAAATGTGTTGGGAGTTTATGGATGTTTCAAGACATACGCAGATCTTATCAATGTATACTTCAAATTGTTGGTGTGACAAATATCTGTATATGAGATTGCATAGTATAGATCATATTTTCCGAAATATACAATTTCGTTAAACTTTCGGGAGTGCAAGGTAGAAGGACACGGGACAGATGAACCGTTAACTGTCACCTACATTAGAAAGATATTACGAGCTCGAGGAACGACGGTATACAACAGATGCGATTAAGATTACGCAGTAAAATCTCGCCTGCGGAGAAAAGTCGCTATTTTTGATAAGTATGCAAATGTTCAATAAATCCTAATGTCTATTGACAACTGTTTCGCCTTCTACAAAAAAAAAATGAGCTTACCAAGAGTTAACTGTTCTCTGTCTCGTGCGTCTGTGCTACATCTGTCACGTTAAAAGGGAGCATTTACGGCTAATAATCACTGCGCAAACACATCGCGCTGTCGGAGTGTGCGGCAACCCGTTTACGTGGTATGATACGAATAAGACAATGTAACCCAAGGCGTTTCGCGACGACGAGCGCTGTAGAACGAGAACAGGGTATCTCGTGCGTTATACGGGAAGCGAGACACCCTCGATAAGCACACCCCCTCCCCCCCCCCCCCCCCC